GAGAGAGAGGTCAGAGTGAAGTCGGTCAACTTCAATGTCAAGGAAAGGTGAAACGTCAGCTCTATCAAATCTTAGTCTGCAGGCAGTCTAAGAAAAGCTTGGTGCTCAGTATGACCGTAGTAAAAGAATAATGCGAAAGCGGTTTGTTAAAATGGGAAATTGTTCGAATCACCATTGTATTAACATCTGGGCAGATTTGGAAACACAGATATATGGCCCATTTAGCGGAAATGGACCATAGATCTGTGTTCACTGCACCTGCCCCTATTTCATGCAAAAAACCGTTTTCAAAAAGCGCTCCACGCCCTGAACGACCTCCCCTCGTAAGAACATTCGATAGTTTTAGATTTTTTCTGAACTTGAGAACTGGTACCATTCGTTCGGGGTAAACAAAAATGCTGAAGTAGAGGCAGATGAATATCTGGACGGGTGGACGTCAACATTTTTAACAAGACCCCAATTTTGTTTGGGATCCCACTTTTCAAGAAGGCGTATAAGAACTACAGTATGAACTGTGATTAACCTTCAATTATTGATCTGCAACGTAGTAGTTCACTTCTCGGCTAACATATAAAAACACTTTCTCTTATGTTCTTATCTATCATCATTATTATTTTTTACCTGTAACTTTAATTATGGGCGGAAGTGGTGTAGTGGCACGCTTACCACGCGAGCGGTCCGGGGATCAAATCCTGAGTCGCCCGGGCCAACCAAGCCTTCCATCCCTCCGGGGTCGAATTGGTACCAGACTTGTCTGGGAGGATAAAAACACTGACTTGTACATCGGCTGGCCCCGCAAGTCATTGTATAGGCCACATCGCATTCAAACGCCACTACGAATGTACAAATGGAAGTAGAATGCGTGCCGCATCCCAAAAAGGGATTGATCAACGGCAAATGCTTTATCCTTTATCCTTTTACTTTAATCTTCTTTATAGCATTTGCTCAAGCACTTAAAAATCGAACAAATGAAAAGAATAGCTCAACGATAGCAGTACAGAAACAAATGGGAACTATAGGGTTACCAACATCAACATTTATAGGGCCAGAAATAACGACTTCACGTCTTCCATGGCTTCCTGGGAGAATAAGGAGGAATTGTAATATAATATTTTTTACTTCGACATGAAAATATCGTGGGTCGAATATAGTTCGGAAGAGTGGGGCATCTCGGTACAGAAAGTACCCTACCATCTTAAGCATTTGAAACCCGTCTTCCAATAT